CCCCGGGAGGCCCGGGCTTGAGTCCGGAGAGGGGAAAATACAGTGCCTTTAATCTGAAGGGGGGGTTTTTAATGTTGCAGTTTTAAAAAGTAGTGTAAAGCACCCTTTTTGGCAAGACCGTTTATGGGTGAAAAGATGGGAGAAAGTTTTTTTTTTTCGGGGGCCCCCCGGGCCTTTGGGGGGAAAACGGCCCCGTGTGTAAAAAAAAATTAAAAATTATAATAATAAAAATATATAATTTATATATATATATATATATATATTTTATATTAAATATATAATTTATATATATATATATATTTATATATATATATAATATATATTTTTTATATAATATATATTTTATAATTTTATTTTATAATAAAAGTGGACCCCCGCTTTGCGAAAAGCCTTGCATAGCGGAAAAAATCCGCATAGCGGACGCTTTTTTTTCGCTTTAAAATTTTGCCCCGCCCTAGTGGACAAAAACCCGGGTCAGCGGCCTTCGTCCGAAAACGCGTCCAAAGTGCGCCCCCAGACCCGCCCCCACATGTGCCGCCCCTCCCATTTTTTTACCCCCAGCCTGCCCCCGGGGGTAACTTTTAAGCATACACTCGGAAATTTCGTAAATTTTTACAGTTTTTTTCGGTTTCTGTTTCTGGAAAAAAAAAGTGGCCCCTGGGCCCCCCAAAAAAGTTTTAGTGCCAAACCCCCCGCCTCAAAGGGGAAGAAAACCCATTGAAATTAAGAAAAGGGTCATTGATAATATGAAAGTGGAGTACGTTTCACCCACCTGGTCAGGTTGTACAAGAAAAACCCAAAATTTTTTAAACCCTCTCTTTTTTATTGTTGGGAAGGAAAAAAGGCAATCAAGGAAGCTGTTCCCTTTCCAAAGGTTTTTTAAATGTGGTTTTTTGAAAAAAAGATCGCAAAATGAAAGGAAATGTTTTAGGAACTCTTTTGGTGTGGAAAAAAATGGGAAAAAAAGCTAGCAGGAATAGCGTCCCCTCAAGCGATCTTTTGTAAAAGGCTTTGGGAAATTTTCATTTTCGATTTAATTTAAAAAAAAGCCTGCAAATAGTGATGATTTTTGAGTGAAATTTTAAAGGCCCAACAAAGGTTGGTTTGAGAGAATTTTAAAAACTAGGGGGGCATCCCCTAGTTTGAACGGAAAAGGGGAGGGTCGCCCGTTCGGACCACAAAGCCCGGGTGAAAAATTGTGCATGAATTTTTGGAAAATACATAAAAAAAACTGAAAGGGGCTGGAACCCGAACAAGGGGGTTTAAAATTTTGATGAAAAAAGGCCCCGGGTTCCCGGAAAAAAAATGCCCAAACGGACCTACATTATCAGGGGGAAAAAGGGAAATCCCAGGACTTTTTGCCTATGAAAACAGGCTTTTCTTTGTTGATGTGTGCCAATTTTAGTGGTGATTTTTCAAAATTTAAAGGGCCCTTTTTTAGTGTATCACTCTGAAACCCCCCAGAGGTTCAGGGAAAAGAATGGGCCCCAAGGATAATTTGGGGGGTGCTGTTTAGGGGAAAAAGTTTAAAGGCCAAAGGGGGCCCCCTAGGGGAATTTTTTTTATAACTGGTTTTCACCCTGCATTTTTCCCCCAATGTGAAAGATTAAACCCAAAAGAAAAGAAAATTTGACCCTTTAAGGGGCCCCCTGGTGTTTGACAATGCCCCTGGGCATCCTACCAAAGTGGCAGAGCGACTTTAAGGGGAAAATGAGCTTAAATTTAAGGGGAAGTTTTTTCCTCCCAAAAAACCCCCCACCCCCTCCTGCAGCCCATGGGGCCAGCAGGTCCCTTTCCAAAATTCCAAAAAAAACTGTAAAACAAAAGCTTGTTTCAAAAATGTTTGGGAAATGACCACAGACAACCCCGATTTACTCTAAAAAAAGTTTTGGAAGGATCACTTTAAAATCCTCAAATTTTTTGTAAACCCCTTTTAGGGAAGGCTTGGGGGGGGTACTAAGAGAACCTTGAAATCTGCTTGGAAAAAAACTGTGGCCAAAAATGTGTAACAAAAGGGATTTTTGGAAAGGGGTTTTAGGTAAAAACCCCAGAGGAGTAGTATTCCAGTTGAGGAATCAATTGTGGAATTGGGAATTTCCCTTTGGGGGTTTGGGGGTTAGTGGGGGGGATGTGGGGAGTTTGGGGGAGGGACAATGAAGAATAACCACTGATGACTGATTTGATCAACTTCAAAAAGCAAGAGGCCCGACCTGGGGAAAATGGGTTTAAAAAAGGGGGGGAGGAGAAATTTTAAGGAATTTTCCTACTTCAAAATTTTAAAGGAAAAAGTGTGCAAAAAAAAGGCTTGAATTTCAAAAATTTTTTTTTATGAAAATCACCCTCACACAGCTATTGCAAGCCGTGCTGGTGACTGTTACAATGACACTGTTGTGAACCACTTTAGACAAATCATAAGGAACGAGAGGTACAGGCCACTATGGACAGATATGTTGTGCGAAAGAAGTCCAGTGACTCTGAAGCTGGTCCTAGTGGCATTAAAAGAAGAAGGGAAGTAACCCCAGAAAAGGACTTGCTACCTCAAGTCCTAATGGAAGGGGATTCCCCTTCTAAACACTAACACTCTCTCTCCCCTCCTCCCATCCCATCAATCATCACCAGATCTTCAATAAAAGTAAGTGTCATGTAATTGTGCATGCCTTTTTCAGTTTGTGTGTACTAAAATTAACATTTTTTTGTGGTAAAAAAATTTTTTTTTCATACTTTTGGGTGTCTTGCACGGATTAATTTTATTTCCATTATTTCTTATGGGGAAAATTCATTCGCATAGCGAACATTTCGCATAACGGCCAGCCCTCTTGCACGGATTAAGTTCGCTATGCGGGGGTCCACTGTATATATATATATATATATATATATATATATATATATATATATATATATATATATATATATATATATATATATATTACTAAATGTAAAAGGAGAAACTTTCTTTTTCCTTTTAGGCCACCCCGCCTCGGTGGGATACGGCCGGTGTGTTGAAAGAAAGAAAGAAAATAATATAATAATATATAATATAATAATATGTAATAGTACAATAATAATTATAATAATAATAGTACATGTATGTACGTACTGCGTATAATTTAGTTTGACAACACCACCACCAGACAGCAAACAATGGTCACCAGTGCACATGTGCTTATGGAGTTACCCTTGCGGTGCAAGGAATTGTTGTGATTTCCTTACGTTTTGTGCAGTTAATTCGCCAGATTTCTTTCTTCTGATCATGAGTTCCAAGAAAGCAAGTGGAATGGACAGTGCCGAGAAGAAAAAGAGTTTGATTTGCATGGAATTAAAGCAAGAAATAATTAATAAGCACAGACTAGGTACAAGGGTTGAGGACTTAGCGAGTTGAGTACAAGCGTAGCCCCTCTACTATATGTACAATACTAAAGCAGAAGGAGTCTATAAAGGCTGTAGTGCCAGCAAAGGGCATTACAGTAATTTCTAAGCAGTGGACCTCTGTCAATGAAAAGATGGAAAAGCTGCTGTTGATATGGTTGACAGAGATACAGCTCACAGGAGATACGTAGCGTGGTGAGATAAATATAAAAATTGTACATAACAGTTCTTAAGATTATTATTATTATTATAATCAAGGGGGAAGTGGTAAACCCATAGGATTATACAGCGCCTGGGGGGAGAAGGTATTCAGGCTTAATTCGGGGAACTGGAGCACAGAGCCAGTTCCCTAAATCAAGAGCCCCACACCATCATCAAGGAGCCTTCCTTGAGGGGCAGTTCTTAAGAAAAGTGTGAACTGACAGGATATGCCACTGTGCATTTCTTCTCCAAGGTATGTAAATGCCGTATGTACACCAGATCTAATTCAGTTAGCCTCACAAATCCCGTTTTCTCTTATAACACCTCTGATGTTTTCATAGTGAGAATGCGCGACCACTCCTGATAGCAATCCTCTTCCCTCCGCCGTCCATGTAATGACATATTTTATTCATTCTAGAGTGTATATCAGGTTTCTATGTTATTTATATTGTTTATTATGTCATATTAGATGAATTGTGACAGATAAATAAGCCATAGAGTTGATATTAGAGTTATTTTGTCATGCCTCCCGAGAGCAGGAATTCAGCTAGAACGAATTAATTGCATTTCAATTAATTTAAATGAGGAAAATTGACCCAACATATGAACAAATCAGGATACGAACAAGTCCACGGAACGGATTAAATTCATAACCCGAGGTTCCACTGTACTAGGTCAAAGGTAAAATGTTCCCATCATGTATTACATGGAGCAGGATTTTTTTTTCATTGTTCATACTACTGCACAGACACATTATCTCATGTCTAGGCCAAACTTAAAGGGAGCTGTGACTTATGCATAGCTCGATGGAAGTGAAACTGATCCCATTGAGGTAGATCACTGTGATTGATGATTGACAGTCTCATATTTTGCCATCACTATTTGAAAATAAATTACAACATTTTCTTATTTATACGAACATGCTCCATAGAAACAGATCTGTGAGTACATGGAAATAAGGAAGTCATGTACTGTATTTTCCCTCAGAATTTTCTTAACCATAATTCTCAATAAATTTTCAGCCAGATTAGAGGAGCAGCTTATATTAATTATAGTACGTCCTCACTTAGTGCTGTTCTTAGGTTCTTGGAAACTACGACTTTAACTGAAACGACATATAATAAATGCAATTTTACCATAGGCTAACTGATATAAACATCAGGAGTGCACAGTGCACCTTTAGCACTCTCTGCAACAGGGTTAAATCAAGGAATAAATGTTTGCAAAGTGAAAATTGTAAGGAGCATCTCCGTCCACCACACATTTCAAAAACAAACATGCAAACACCACACAGACAGTGACCCTGACCAGAAATAATTCTTTTTTTCCATCATGAGCACTTACTGTATATTATTGATCCAATTATCACTGAATAATTCAAATGTTTTATATAGGAGTCTATTTTTTTGTGGTTTTGTATTAAACAATTCCAGGTGAACGACATGGTAGCTTGTCTAGTAAGGGGTAGTGAAGGAGAGGACAACTGGATCCTGGCAGAAGTTGTTAGCTACAACACTACCACAAACAAGTACGAGGTTGATGACATTGATGAAGAACAGAAGGAACGTCATACCCTGAGTCGTCGTAGAGTTTATCCTCTCCCACTGATGAGAGCCAACCCAGAAGTAAATCCAGAAGCTTTGTACCCTAAAGGTTCTATTGGTAAGTTTTCATGTAGCATTTGGGTACACACTGAAATATATCTTATAGACAGCAACTGCCCAGGGAGGTACTACTGTCTTGCCAAGTGAGTGTAAAACAGAAGCCTATACTTGTTTTACATGATGGTAAGATTGCTGGTGTCTTTTCTCTGTCTCATAAACATGCAAAATTTCAGGTACGTCTTGCTGCTGCTACTTACACTTAGGTAACACTGCACATGCATAGACAGGTATATATATACATATGCCCCTCTGGGTTATGTTCTATTTTCTTACTGGTTCTTGTTTTTGTTTATTTCCTCTTATCTCCATGGGAAAGTGGAACAGAATTCTTCCTCTGTGAGCTATGCGTGTCGTAAGAGGCGACTAAAATGCCGGAGCAAAGGGCTAGTAACCCTTTCTCTTGAATAAATTACTAAACTAAAAAGAGAAACTTTTGTTTTTCCTTTTGGGCCACCCTGCTTTGGTGGGATATGGCTGGTTTGTTGAAAGAAGATTGATAATGTGCTATATAGAGCTATATTAATATAAAAGATCCTGCCTGATAAACTATTAACAGATCTGCATCAAATATTTTTCAAGGATAGTAAACCCTCGGTTTAAGGGACTTGGATTTAATGGATTTTGGAATTATGGGACAAAATCTGGTGGGCCACTTGATTTGGAAACAACAGACAGTTCATTGGTTACATGATTGTCAGTTACTGTTCTTATCATGGCAAAATAAACTCACTCCCCCTCTTCCATTAGTTCATTAAACCTTGAGTTTACTATGTAGTTAATTAAGGATATAAATTTACTTCCTTGTAGGAGTGAGGAAGAGCCAGTTGTGAGTGTGGGGGAAGTTCGTCAGGCAGTAGGTAAAATGAAAGGGGGTAAGGCAGCCGGGATTGATGGAATAAAGATAGAAATGTTAAAAGCAGGTGAGGATATAGTTTTGGAGTGGTTGGTGCAATTATTTAATAAATGTATGGAAGAGGGTAAGGTACCAAGGGATTGGCAGAAAGCATGCATAGTTCCTTTGTATAAAGGCAAAGGGGACAAAAGAGAGTGCAAAAATTATAGGGGGATAAGTCTGTTGAGTATACCTGGTAAAGTGTATGGTAGAGTTATTATTGAAAGAATTAAGAGTAAGACGGAGAATAGGATAGCAGATGAACAAGGAGGCTTTAGGAAAGGTAGGGGGTGTGTGGACCAGGTGTTTACAGTGAAACATATAAGTGAACAGTATTTAGATAAGGCTAAAGAGGTCTTTGTGGCATTTATGGATTTGGAAAAGGCATATGACAGGTGGATAGGGGGGCAATGTGGCAGATGTTGCAGGTGTATGGTGTAGGAGGTAGGTTACTGAAAGCAGTGAAGAGTTTTTACGAGGATAGTGAGGCTCAAGTTAGAGTATGTAGGAAAGAGGGAAATTATTTCCCAGTAAAAGTAGGCCTTAGACAAGGATGTGTGATGTCACCATGGTTGTTTAATATATTTATAGATGGGTTGTAAGAGAAGTAAATGCGAGGGTCTTGGCAAAAGCCGTGGAGTTAAAAGATAAAGAATCACACATAAAGTGGGAGTTGTCACAGTTTCTCTTTGCTGATGACACTGTGCTCTTGGGAGATTCTGAAGAGAAGTTGCAGAGATTGGTGGATGAATTTGGTAGGGTGTGCAAAAGAAGAAAATATAAAAGTGAATACAGGAAAGAGTAAGGTTATGAGGATAACAAAAAGATTAGGTGATGAAAGATTGGATATCAGATTGGAGGGAGAGAGTATGGAGGAGGTGAATGTATTCAGATATTTGGGAGTGGACGTGTCAGCAGATGGGTCTATGAAAGATGAGGTGAATCATAGAATTGATGAGGGGAAAAGGGTGAGTGGTGCACTTAGGAGTCTGTGGAGACAAAGAACTTTGTCCTTGGAGGCAAAGAGGGGAATGTATGAGAGTATAGTTTTACCAACGCTCTTATATGGGTGTGAAGCATGGGTGATGAATGTTGCAGCGAGGAGAAGGCTGGAGGCAGTGGAGATGTCATGTCTGAGGGCAATGTGTGGTGTGAATATAATGCAGAGAATTCATAGTTTGGAAGTTAGGAGGAGGTGCGGGATTACCAAAACTTGTCCAGAGGGCTGAGGAAGGGTTGTTGAGGTGGTTCGGACATGTAGAGAGAATGGAGCGAAACAGAGTGACTTCAAGAGTGTATCAGTCTGTAGTGGAAGGAAGGCGAGGTAGGGGTCGGCCTAGGTAAGGTTGGAGGGAGGGGGTAAAGGAGGTTTTGTGTGCGAGGGGCTTGGACTTCCAGCAGGCATGCGTGAGCGTGTTTGATAGGAGTGAATGGAGACAAATGGTTTTTAATACTTGACGTGCTGTTGGAGTGTGAGCAAAGTAACATTTATGAAGGGGTTCAGGGAAACCGGCAGGCCGGACTTGAGTCCTGGAGATGGGAAGTACAGTGCCTGCACTCTGAAGGAGGGGTGTTAATGTTGCAGTTTAAAAACTGTAGTGTAAAGCACCCTTCTGGCAAGACAGTGATGGAGTGAATGATGGTGAAAGTTTTTCTTTTTCGGGCCACCCTGCCTTGGTGGGAATCGGCCAGTGTGATAATAAATAAAAATAAATAAATTTACTTTAATTATTATTGTTATTATTACTATAAATTATTTAGAAAATCTTAAAGTTGTTATGGCAACTACATAATGTTTGCAAATATTATTCACAGTTATACTTAAACATTACATAACAGGATTATTGCTGAAAACTAACAGTATAAAAATGTTCTTCCTTAGTTATGGCTCTGTATCCCCAAACCACTTGCTTCTACAAGGCAGTCATCAATCGGCTGCCCACATTAACAACAGAAGAATATGAAGTGCTGTTTGAGGACCCTACTTATGCAGATGGTTTCTCTCCACCATTGATGGTTGCACAGAGATATGTTATACAGATTAAGGAAGTCAGTAAGAAGAAATGAATTTGTGATATCAGAAATGCTGTAATAAAATCTTAAACATATAAAATTAATTTGTTTTCAACATTTAGCATAAAGAACAACAACAGTTTTACTGTAGTTAAGGAAAATATTATCTGAGAAATATTACAGTACAGGCATTAACAGCAACATCCAAATTAATGTATGTGTACACTAAATTTGTTGTGAGAAAAAAAAAAATTGCCCTGAATAAAATATTCTTGAATGTGTTGTATCCAATTTAACCCTAATGTCTCACTAGTATCATGCACTATTTATTCATTGCTTTTACTATGGCTAGAGATGATCTAACATTGGTTACCCAATCATAAACTATAGACACAAAACAATGTGATGTTCACTCCTTTGCTGCCCTTAATTCAGACTCTGTCTCTTTGCTACATCATCTGTAACTCCTGTTCCCAACTTTTCTCTTTGCTTTTGTCCTCTCCTAATACCTTTGCCATGTGGCACTGTATGAATTTTATGGACTTAGCACCTTCCCATGAATGAATATAATGATACTTATGGTGTCATATTTGGAGACAACACAAGTATATGTAAGTTAAGTGAAATATTCTCTATACAGTAGTACAGGTCAGCCATCAGTAATCTGGCTCCATCGGTAGTCCAGCACTAATTTCGGCTAGCCTAATTTTAAATTTCCGGGGTCGCCACCGCCAATCTGCCGCTACTGTTTGGTGGTGCTACTTGCTGCATAAGTCAGTCCAATTTGTTTTTCTCCATTTATTATTATAACCTGCTCACTTCTGGCCATGGTTCCAACAAATAAAGCAAATGCTTCTCGTTGTGTAAAGCACATACACAATACTTTGTCCATAAAAGATAAGGTGGCTCTGAAGCCACTGTCGGTCGCCATGAGCTCAGCTCACTCAGATAAGCTGTGACCAGTAAATTTGGATCTACATATGAGAGAGTAGGTCTGTGGGGTAAGTGTGCACTATATAAAAAAAATCCTGCAGCACGCGGTGCATGAGAAAAAAACTGCGACAGTGTTTTTGGTGCAAAACAGCGACTCTGCATTGTATTTTCATATGGTTTTTATGTTGTATTCTCATTTTTTTGGTCTCATTTGATAGAATGAAAGATATATTACAGAAACAGATATGATTTTGATTGGTTTTAAGACAGAAAGTACCTTGAAATTGAGCTCTGGTTTTAAGACAGAAAGTACCTTGAAATTGAGCTCAAAGTAGCAGAAATGTTTGATTTTGCTGGTGTTCAAGAGTAAACAAATGACATCACCATCCAATATGTGTCCAACTGGCCAGTCTATTATGTATTATTTATATAATTATTACAAAAATGCAGTAGTCTGCATAACAGTAAACCTTCTGTTTTTTGTGTGAATAAAAATTCAAAATGGGAAGCAGGTATAATATAAGAGGGGCCTGGAGACATGACTAATGAACAGAGAAAATGTTATTTTAGTGCCAGGAGTGTCTGCATTGTTTATTCCAGACCCTATTTTGAAATTAGCATCTCTTGAAATTTGTGTGAAATTGGCCAAATTACTGATTTCTGACCACTTTATTGGGTAGTTGAAATAGGTAAATGGGCGGTTTCTTTTACTCAGTTGACAGAATAAAAGAAATACTAGTAATGTAGCTATGAGTTTGGTAGACTGGAACAATGGAATGGACCCAAAATAGGGCTTAAATTTTGCAAAATCGCCGGTTCGTAAATATCGCTGTTGGGTTGTGTACTCTAAGCTAACTGCTCTGTAATCTGGCAGGTCCTGATGATGCTGGATTAGTGATGGTCAATCTGTACCTCAGTACTTGAACTTAATTCGTTCAGAAGGCTGTTTGAGTGCTGATCTGTTCGAGTATTGAATGAATTTTTCCCAACCAATTTTCTTTTTGGTTGGCTGTTATCAATAGTCTTCTTAGGTCCCATGGTGACTTACTTATACAAAAATAATAAATAAAAAATCCCAAAAATGCAAAGAAACACAAAATAGTTTACAGTGCAGTTCTGGCAGGTCGTGTTTGTTTGGTCGAGTGCTGAGCAAATTGTCTACTATCGATCGATTTTTTTTACCGAACAAAGCATTCGAATACCGAATTGTTTGAGTAGGGGGCTGTTCGACCCTGGTTCCCCTGTATTTTGCAAATGTTGTGTTATCAAGCTCTGTAATGGAACATGATAGCATGAACCATTCTGACATCCTTTGCTGTCTCTACAAGGGAGATACCTGACTACTGAGATAGATGAGTATGGTCATTCAGATGTCATCACCCATTTACCATCAACAAAATGTGTCCATCTTCAAGTATCCTTATCATCTTCACCTCCATAGTTAAACAAGAGGTAAACTGTAAACAGTACACTTAGTAAATAAAACATGGTGCATTTAATATTTGAATATTGATACTTTGCTTAATCTTTATCCATATTGAAGGGGTGACACAGCATCATCTCAAAAAGTAACCTGTAAGCATATTGCATACAGGTTTGATGCAATTTTGTGTGTGTAATAATAATGTAAATGTATTAGTGTTTTATTTATGTGTTAATATTTTGTAATAATGTCATGTGCCTTAAGAAATTGTATTATCAGGATGCAGTTTATTACATCAGGATCTATAATTTATATAGTTATAGGACTGTATCCCCTCAAGGGAGGTTCCCTGATGCTGGTGAGGGGCTCTTGATCTAGGGAATTGGATCTGTGCTCCGGTTCCCTGAACTGAGCCTGAATAACTTCCATCCCCCCCACGTGCGCTGTATAATCCTATGGGTTTAGCACTCCCCCATGATTATAATAATATTAATAATAATAATAATATAGTACTTTATCTTCAGGCATGATATTGTGGGTTCTTTGAGAATTGTTCCAGGAATGCTATAAAATTACTTGTGAATTGTTCCAATTATGGTATTGTGAGTTATTTGTGAATTGTTCGAGGCATGGTATTGTTAGTTATACATGAATTGTTCCAGACACAGTATTGTTAGTTATGTTAATTGTTCCAAGCACAGTATTATGTGTGAATTGTTCCAGGCACAGTATTGTTAGTTCCATGTGAATTGTTCCAGACATGTTATTGTTAGTTACATGTGAATTGTTCCAGGCACAGAAATGTTAATGTTAATTGTTCCAGGTACAACATTCTATGTGAATTGTTCCAAATATGATATTGCCACTTATGTGAATTGTACCAGGTGCAGTATTGTTAATCATATGTGAATTGTTCGAGGTGTGGTATGGTTAGTTATATGTGAATTGTTCCAAGCACAGCATTGTTAGTTATATTTTAATTGTTCCAGGTATGATATTATTAGTTATATGTGAATTGTTCTAGGCACAGTATTGCTATATGTGAATTGTTCCAGGCACACTATTGTGTTATTTGTGAATTGTTCCAGACATGGTATGGTATTGTGTTATTTGTGAATTGTTCCAGGCACGGTAACCTGGAGAAGGTTTTGGTGGTCAATGCCCCCACAGCCTGGTCTGTGACCAAGCCTCATGGTGGATCAGGGCCTGATCAACCAGGCTGATACTGTTGGCCGCACACAACCCGATATACGAATCACAGCCCGGCTGGACAGCTACTGACTTTAGGTGCCTGTCCAGCACCTTCCTGAAGACAGCCAGGGGTCTATTGGTAATCCCCCTAATGTATGTTGGGAGGCAGTTGAACAGTCTTGGGCCCCTGACACTTACTGTATTGTCTCTTATCTTGCTAGTGGAACCCCTGCTTTTCATTGGGGGGATGTTGCATCATCTGCTGAGTCTTTTGCTTTCATAGGGAGTGATTTTCATGTGCTAGTTTGGTACTAATCCCTCTAGGATTTTCCAAGTATATATGATGATGTCTCTCTCCTGCCTGAGTTGTAGGGAGTACAGGTTGAGGAACTTCAAGCGTTCCCAGTAACTGAGGTGTTTTATCGCAGTTATATGTGCAGCGAAAGTTCTCTCTGCATTTTCTAGGTCAGCAATTTCAACTGCCTTGAAAGGTGCTGTTTATGTGCAGCAATATTCCAGCCTAGATAGAACAAGTGATCTGAAGAGTGTCACCATGGGCTTGGCATCCCTAGTTTTGAAGGTTCTGATATAATGTTGTGGTCTTTGAAAGTGAGATCCTCTGACATTATCACTCCCAGGTCTTTTACATTAGTTTTTCGCTCTATTGTGTGGTTGAAATGTGTTTTATACTCTGATATAGTTTTAATTTCCTCATGTTTTCCATATCAGAGTAGTTGAAATTTCTCATCTTTGAACTTCATACTATTGTTTTCTGCTGCCCATTTAAAGATTTGGTTGATGTCCACCTGGCATCTTGCAGTGTCTTCAATGGAGGACACTGTCATGCAAATTTGGGTGTCATCTGCAAAGGAAGACAGTGCTGTGGCTTACATCCATGTCTGTGTCAGATATTAGGATGAGGAACAGGATGGGAGCGAGTACTGTGCCATGTGGAACAGAGCTTGTCATAGTAATCACCTCAGACTTTACTGTTTTTACTACTTTTTGTGTTTTATTTGTTAGGAAATTATAGATCCATCTACCAACGTTTCCTGTTATTCGTTTATCATGCATTTTGTGCGCTGTTACACCATGGTCACACTTGTGTAAGGCTTTTGCAAAGTCTGTGTATACTACATCTGCATTTTGTTTGGCTTCTGGAGCATCCAGGACCTTGTCATAGTGGTCTAATAGTTGGGACAGGCAGGAGCGACCTGCTCTAAACCCATGTTGCCCTGGGTTGTGTAACTGATGGGTATCTAGATGAGTGGTGACCTTGCTTCTTAGAACCCTTTCAAAGATTTTTATGATATGGGATGTTAGTGCTATCAGTCTGTAGTTCTTAGCTATTGCTTTACTACCCCCTTTGTGGAGTGGGGCTATGTCTGTTGTTTTTAGCAACTGTGAGACAACCCGTGAGTCCATGCTCCCTCTCCATAGGATGTTAAAAGCACATGATTGGGATTTCTTGCAGTTCTTGATGAACACAGAGTCCCACGAGTGGGCCTGGGGCAGTGTGCATGGGCATGTCATTTATTGCCTTTTCTAAATAATTTGGTGTCAGGATAATATCAGATAAGTTTGAGTTTACCAAATTCTGTGTCTCACTAGTAAAAAATTCATTTAGGTCTTCGACTCTCAGTTTGGTTAGCGGCTCGTAAAAACTGAGTCATGTTGGGACACGAGTAGCTCACTCATTTTCTTGCTGTCATCTGTGTAGGACCCATCTC